AGAAGTTAGCTGTGCAATTAATAGCATCCAAATACTTTGAGAGCAGTAGTTTTGAAAATATCCGATATGTTATCGTTTTTTAATTTCTGTTTGATTTTTTTAAAAAATCAAAACGATAACCTTTTATCGAGTTGAAGTGGAATTTTATGCACATTTTTATTTTCCACGGATGAAAAAGAGATACTTTGTTTTAGCATTTTACGATTTCTACCATCTCATTTGCTTTTTTAAACAAAGTAACATTTATTAATAACTGTTTAGCATATACTTCGTAGAGAACTGAACTGCTCTTTAATTACACGAAATCGCTCTCAGGCATGAAGATACTTTTTATAGATTTCTGATTCATTCTCTATATTATTTTCAAAATATCGAATAGCTTTATAAAATGATAGGAATCTAAATAAAACTATAAATTACTAAATGTTTGTGGGAAATATGCTGAAAATTCACTTAAGCGGTCAGTATTTTTGTATAAGAATTAATCCTTCTTTAAGCAATTATGTGCTTAAAAGTATGTTTAAAATATTTCACCTTCGAAAGACTACTGAAATAATCAACAATGAGCTTTGTATATTAACAATTCATTTATATTTTTAATGAAATATTCAAATAATATCCAATACCATTAAAAAATGTCATTGCTTCAATATAGTAATTCTTTTTTTATAAATTGGATTCATTTAAACTTATCCTTATGGTAAATAAAACCTAAAACATTTTAAAATCTTGTTTTATATCTGTTCCCCATGTCGGCCATGGTAGCCTAGTGGTCAAGGTAACGGACTCGTGGCCGGTATGTCATAAGTTCGAGCTTAGTACCGCAGAAGGGAAGCGATGCACCTTAAACTCGTCGAGAGCTCAAACGTCCTCCCATTAGTGTGGATGTCAGGAGAGGAGGTGTCAGCTCTCACACACACACACACAAGTGTCGTCATTTGACCATGGCTCAAAATGATGTGATCTGTCGCCAAAAGCTCAAGAGTTGCTGAATAGTGCTACGTTAATATTCTCTCACTCACTGATCCCCACATTTCAATGTTTTAATAACCTTTTCTCATTCAGTTCTGTGAGATGTAAAGTATTAAATTATTGTTTTCAATAAGACAGAATGATGGATCAAAATTCAATATAAAATTACAGAAAATATTGAATCACGAAGTATAACAAATCAAAAAATGAATGCTGAAATCAACTAATCAATAACAAGTGCAAAACTTTTTAAAAAATTAACAGATTTGATTTTTGGCAAATCAACAAAAAATATATTTGTTTGTTTATTTATGCTAATATTTTACGTGGAATATATTTAAATATTTTTTTTATAAAAGTAACATTTTATAAGTAAAGGAAATAGTTATAAAAAACTGTAAAATACAAAAAGAAATTAAATTACGTACCAATTTGAATTGTTATTGAAAGCGAAATAAGATTATTGAGAGGTGAATTGTTATTAAATGCAGAACCTATCATTCCTATTTTTTTTAAAAAAAACGGGTATTGTCTATTGAACTATTCTTCATACTTTCACCTACTTACTGATAAATTGATCCATTACACAGTTCGCCGATGGAAAAAAAAAAAAGGCAGCGGTAGCCTAGTGGTCAATTTATCGAATCGTGGCAGGCTTATCCCGAGTTTCAGCCCAGTACCACTAAAAACCTGCCGTGTAGGGGTTAACTTGCCGTGCACGTTAAATCAGTCGAGAGCTCAAACGTCCTCTCGTTGGTGTGGTAGTTAGGAGAGGGAGTGCTAGCTCAGCTGTCGTCAATAATACAAAATGACGAGGTCCATCGCCAAAAGCCCTCGTGTAACTCAACACAGTGTGACGTTAATATTCATTCACTAACCCCCGATAGAAAAAATACAAGGGAAGTATTGGCTCATCCTTTTGTATCACTTGCTTCTGTTTTTAAAAATACTAATAAAAAATTTTTTAACATGTCACGTTTTCTAGAGAAATTAAATTTTAATCGGATTTTTATGAGTATTTACCAAAAAACAAGTAACATAAAAAAATTGCTTTTAATTCAATTCCAACTTAGATCAACAAAAAAAAATTTATTTTAGCTACTTTTTATTAGTTACAAATATTATAAATATGTATATACATATGATAGAATCGCAACATTAAGCGGTAATTAATTTACATTAATTATCATTTAAGTATCGTATTGTCATCCAAAATAATCCTGTGTATAAAATTTCAGTTCATTTGAATGCTTTAAAACGTGAGAAAAAAAACCTTTTCAAGTTTTGACACAAATCGCCAAAAATAATGCCACGTGGCTGTATTTGTAATTCTTTAAATAATTAGTTTCAATCAATTAATTTTTATTAATTATAATTAAATAATTGTATTGTCATCCAAAATAATCATGTATATGAAATTTCAGCTCAATGGAGCGCTTTAAAATGTATTTTATTAACGACTGAAAATTCCGCCAAGATAAATAAATATATAGAGTGTGAGCTAATAGTGTAGGAATTGAAAAATGTATCGTTTTGGATGGCTTCATCCATGTGAAGGCAGTAATTTAGCCGTTGCAACTAGTCACTATGGCTCAATGCTTACACGTGTTTCAAGTTGTACGGCTTAAAATGCAATTTTTTTTCAACACACTCCATATGCTAGACGGAGGTAACACGTTCACGAGCACGAACCGTCGAATTCTTTGGTCTGCGTGTAAAAGTCTCTGGCATTCTTGCAATATTCTCTGGCGTACAACCTGGTCGTCCAGGTCTTTTGCCTTAACACAGGCATCCAATTTCTTGGAACTGTTTATACTATCTTCTTATACTCTTAAATGTCGGTGCATTTCTATTGTACTTCTTTCAAAATTCATGCTGAATTATGATTACTGGCAGACGTTTTGCAAACGAGAGTACACAAAATGCTTTATCCCGCAGTGACTCTTTCCGCTTCTATTCACAATTTCAAAAACATCTTGATTACTACATTTGTGTCACCTATTGGGCAAAAACAATGTTACAAACTCAAAATTTCAATTGTATCTTTATAATGACATATTAATTATCTTTTTCTGTTTATTCATCTGGAAATTATTATATTTTGTTATAGGGTCATTCATTAATGATAACCGTTGTGACAGATCCATTCGCGTACCTTCTAATCCTCTTGGAAAATCTTTGGTCTATCATTTGCATTTATTCACAATCAAACATTTTGAAGAAACCGGGATTTTTTAATTAAGTCTACTATATATAATCAGGGTTTTCTAGCTAGCAAAGAGGAGAAGGAGAGAGAGAAAGCCAGAAGAAGTCAGGTGAGATTGCTACTGATCACTCAAATTTATAGAGTAATTCAAATACTTTATTGGTGAAAGAATTATAGTGACGGTTGGTCACTAAAGTTAAGTTAGTGTTAAATCAATTGGGATGGGAAAATTAATCTTAAAATAAGGAGGTCGATATTTGTAGTCTTCTTATAATTCGTGCATCTCGTTGTTGTTCCACGTATATTGCCTACATTGAGATATTCTCTTGTTGAAATTAATTGAATCAGTGTTGCTAATTTGTGTGATCAATGAATAGATTATTTTGATTATAGCTAGTGTTTCTTCCCTTCCTCCCACATCTTTAGACGGACAAGAGAGAGGGACGATTCCCTCACACCCTGTACTTTAAAAGCATTTGAGGACGTCTAAAATCGTATCATTCAAAATATCGTGTGGTCGTGGTAGCTTAGTGATTATCATCTTCACAAAATTGAGTTAGGCGTTGGTAAGTCACGATTTCGTAAGAGGTAAACGGCTTAACGGTTGGCGCGAACATAAATTCCGCTCTCTCAGTCGTCTGTGGAGAGTCAAGTTGGACAGGTCACAGGATAGATAATTGATAACGACGAATTCGGTGTCGTGACAGCTGCTCTGACATTCGCTATGTTTACTCTCTCTGTTGTAGCCCTTGGTCCACCGCTGCCGTTCTGACGTTGATAAGTGCCACTGATCACACTCTTCTCAGTATCCTTCCTCTAATCACCGCATCAATTTGACCCAGATGTTGAGCGATTCCTTGAATCGTCCAACTGGTCCCTTTCAATCCGATTGAACGACCTCTGTCATACTCTAACATGTCCATGGCTCATTGATCCAACCAGATGCTTGGGATTAAGTTTCGGAAAATTCAACATTGACAACAAATTGATTGGGATGACAGAAAATTCAAAATGTTTCGTTCCGATGGATATATAATTGTTGCAAATAAAAAAAAACGAGGAATTTATCCCATCAATCCCTACATGCTGAAGCAGGATCAGGTAATTTGGTATTTTTGGATGGTATTGAGAATCATGAGCTCTATTAAAATATTTTAAAGAGAAATTTTAAATTATCAGCCCAAAATTTGGATATTGGAGATGACTTCATTTTTTAACAGGATAATGACGCCAAACGCACTGCTCTCAATGTACGCCGCTAGTGTCTCTATAACCCCAAATTCTGCAAACATCTCCTCAATCACTTTATTTAGCCCAGGAGAACATATCTGGTGAGAATTTTATATTAAAAAAAAGAAAGCATGAATATTAACACATAATGAGAAGTAAAAACAGTAATCACAGAAGCATGAAGGAAAATCGATGCAGAAATTACAAAAAAAAACTTATTAAATCTATCCCAAGACGTTTAAAATCTGTGTGTTGTGGATACTAAAATATATCCTACGAATATATATATATATCTTATTAAGAAAGAAGTACAATATTTAAAGCAATGTTGAGATTTTTGTTAAGTGCACGAAGACTTTTGTGGCGTAATTTTTAGTAACGTTTTGATTATTAATTTTTAAAAATAATAACTATACTATTTTTAAAAAACTGATTACGTCATTCCATTAAGAATAGGTTGCAGGTATAAAAAAAAATTACAATTCCAATATATTTATTTTTATTAGTCGAAAAAATTAAATTTTATAAGAAATTGCAAGTGTACGAACACTTTTGTGGCCCACTGTACGTAAGAATGAAAATCGCTCGATGTGTCCCTGTAGTGTAATGGATATTACGTTGGACTTCGAATCCAAAGGTCGTGGTTTCGAATCCCACCTGGGTTGGCCCATTTTCTGATAATGTGATTTCTTGTTATTATACTATTTTGTTGGAATAATTAAATTTAATTAATGAATAAATAGTAACAAACAAAAAAAATAGTCTACCACCATTATAGAAAGGAAAATGGAAAATTGCTTTCTATTTTGTCACTTATTATTGTGATTCTGTCATATGTATATACACATTTATAATTATTATAACTATTTAATAAAAGTAATTAAAATAAAATTTTCTTTATGGACCTAAGTAGGAATGGACTTATAAAAAAATTTTTATTACTTGTGTTTCTAATAGCCTCGTGGATTAATAGTAAGAATTTGTAAGATTTTTTTAATAGTGTTGACATAATTTTAAGTAAAGACCGTCTCCGCAAAATGTATGAGGGCTCGAACTACACGCGGAGTTCCTTTTAAGACAGAAAAAATGGCTCAGTTTTACTGAAAATTTGCAAAAATGTAATTCATACATTTGTTAATAATATAGGGTTCTTAAAATTTCAAAATATTTCATAAATAGTTTTTAATTTTTACATGTAAATGAACATCTCGTTTATCATTACAGTATGGGAAAAATACGAAGCCCATTTTATAACAGAAAAAATGCGTCATTTCGGATTAAAAAAAAGTATAGTATGATAAAATAGGCTGCTCTCTATAGAATAGCGAAGCCAAAATGTGTGTAATATAAATGGTGGAGTACTTTGATATCTGAAAAGTATTTCGAATTTGAGTCCTATTCTTCAAGGTATCCTACGTTCGGAACCCTGATTTTGCAAAAGCATACAAACGAATATTTTTTTAATATTTAGAGCCACTTAGATTAGAATGCAAGAATTTAATTGTTTTAAAGCTATTTTTACAATAGTAAATTATTTAAAAGCTATTTTTACAATAAAAAAAGTGTGCGTGTATCAGTGTGAACACGCGGTAGAAGTTAACTTCTTCGGCTTATATGCCTTGAATTGTACAATTAAGTTTTATTTTAAAGTAATCTTATATAGAATTAACAAATTTATTATTATCATCATTATTTCAAACTGCATTTAAAAAATAATTAGGATGGAAAAGGTATAAGTATAAACAAAATTTTCATTTTCAATACATAATACTAAAAAAAATATTGTATACATTTATAGAAAAGTATTATTATTATAAGTCTACTTACATTATGCTTATAGGTGTTTCAGTACATACTTTTGTTATCAAAGGATTGTGGTAGTTAAAATAAGAAATGTAGGTTTTGCACTCAATATCATTGAAGAATCTCGAAAACACTCATCAATCGTAGTATTTGATTTTGTCGTCAATATTATTCTGTTATTTTGTAGAGATAAGGCGAAATGTCTTTTTGCGTCTTAATTTTTCCTTTATTTGAGGTAAAACTGGAAACTCGAGCCATATTGTCTTAACAAATCCTTCATCATTTGTTTCTACATGAATTAGCTTTCCAACTGCACCATTTGCCAATCCATCTGTCACATCAATATTTGTGATAATCATGCAATAAATATTATCCACATAAACTGTTTGATAAGGCAATCTATTTGTACCAATTAATGGCATCTTATGTAATTTTTGATGTAGGAAAGTTTCTTGTTCTTTTGAAGTACTACCAATACATACATCTTTTGCAGTTTAAGTTATTCTGTCCGCGTATGCATTCAGCATTTTATTATTATACTCATTGACGGAATTGTTAGTGTTGAATAATCGTATATTTTGAGGGTACCTTAATTTAGCTTCTTCCACAGTACAAAAACGAGACTTAATCAGAGTTATCTCTATTTCATCAAGTTGTTCGCCGTTTCCAATTTTTGTAAGTATTAAAGAAAATTGTGGATTGGCATGACGCATGATTTCATTTGGTTCATAAAATTTTAGATTCGCCATAAATTGGTCCAACGATGGTCTGTTTCGGTTGCTTATAGATGGGCGTAGAACGAACTGGTGGTAATTCACGGAGAAGTTTCCTAAATTAAAATAATATCTAATCCACCAAAATTTGACAGAAAATTTCCAGTTTTATTTGTTTTAATCTAGAATCAACCTTCAATAATAACTGAGCACTCATCATACTTATCTCATCGATGATTATGACTTTTATATACTTGAAAAGAGTTCTGCATTGTTGAGCAGTTTCAGAATGTAACGGAAGTAATCTTAATAAAGAAATATTTAAATCTGTATGAACAGTCGTTCCTGAAATAGCTACTGCTGCTTTACCAGTTGAAGCACAAGTTATATATGTATGACAGTATCCATCATTGTTCGTATAGCGATTATAAATTTCCATCAAAAGTTTAATGACGAACGTTTTACCGCATCCGGCTGGGCCGGTAAAAAATATTTGCAATGGAGTTCGATATGATGATAAAAGATGCAAAATAACATGAAGTAAAAGTCCTTTTTGTGTGTGTGTTTTTCGTTTGACATTTTCACTAATTTATAGAAATCTTCTTTGGGCATTAAGTTTTCTTTTTTTTTGCAATAGTAGTAAATTTGTAATAGTAAGTAGTTAGTAATGTGTTGCTAAGTATATATATATATATATATAGATGGCATTATTAAAACAAAAATAAATTTTTCATTCGCACTTTTTTCCCTCGCCAAAATCGGTGATTTTCATTTGACTCCAGTTTTTCTCGTGTATCCCTGAGAATATGTGATGTATGAGGAAGATGTCAATTGCCAATTTGGCGCGAAACTGGTTTTCGTCGCCAAACCCTTGGCTTTTCGTAAAATTGCGCTTTTTTTTAAAGTTTTTATTTTTTGAAGGCTTAATTTAAAAGTTAATGGTTTACAATTTCACATATTGATTGAAAACAATAGTAATTTTTAAACAAAAAATCTAAGAATATTTTTTTTTAGTAAAACATTCTCGTAAAAAAGGCTAAACGACGAAAAACTCCAAAAAAATTTTAAAAACCGTAATTTTTAAGCAATTTTTTCAACTTTTGTACAGATTATGGATAATATTGTACTACACATAGAAAAAAAGTTTCGTGCGATTACTTTTATAAATAATGAAGTTATTTAATATTTACTTCAAATTTTGAGGATTTTTTTGAAAAATCGTAAAAAAAAAAACAGTTCTTGGCATTCTTTTTTTAAATGACTGCTTCTAAAAGAGAAAAGCATGAACTTTTTAGGGTAGAATATCAATTCATTAACGCGAAAGGAAATTGAACGGGAACATTTTAGAAATCTTTTACATAAAAACGCATCAATTTTGACTCATTTTAGAAAAAATCGTAAAAAATAAAAAATATCATTATTTTGTAGAAAAAATTATACCGTATCGTGGCGAAAAAAATGATCTTTCCGATTCTTTAATTCTTTTTTGTCTGAATTTGATAAAAAGAATTAGATGGAGTTTGTTTCGTTCAATTTATAATCTAACAGATTAGTTTAAATAATTCACACCCCACAAAAACTCAGCATTCTAAATCTTTTTATTTATTTTTTGACTGTTGTCATTTACATAAAGCCATAAATCTTTTATCTACAAAATCGCTTCAATACAAGTTGAGTTGTTTCTTTTATTAATTTAAACTTCTTAGAGTTCTGAATTTATTTTAGTTTAAATATATATATTAAATTACATCTTGTGGTTATGATATGAATATTTGTTATACTCGCGACAGCTTTTTTATAAACATGGTGAAAGTCGAAACTTCATACATCTTTAGCTTACGTTCATCATGTAACTGGTAACGCGTAACGAAAATTTTTCCCTAACGTGCCATAAGAAGTTCACTTCAAAAATTATTTAAAAGCTACATTTTGGCAAAAAATGATCATGGAATCATATATAATCATTTCTTTATAATATATATAATATATCTTATATATAATAATATATATAATATATCTTTATATAATATATAATATATCTTTCTAGTGCGGTGCCATATAGGCGCATACCAATCGCTATAGGTAATTTTGACTCCCAGTTTCCTCCCTGGAGTTTCCTCCTGGGAGGCACCTGAGCTCTGACGATGCGAATCTGTACTAGGATTTAATTTTGCCAAGAGCACTCAAGCCAAATAGAGACTCTTGGGATCTTTTACATGCCGTATAATCATATGGCATGGCCCGCTGTCGATTTCCTGCATCATGAAAACCCACCGACTTGGTCGAACCCGCAACCTTAGGTGCAGAAGGCCAGCGACAAACCAACCACGCCACCCAGCCGGTGCCATCAAATCATATATTATCAAGTTTTGTAAAGTACTGTAATACATAAATAAATATTATGGGAATATAGATTCGAGTGAATAATAAAAATGTGTTCCTGTGATTCTGATATGACTTTCAGAGAAATAAAATTTTAGACCAAGGTGTAAAATGACAGAAAGAATACAATTAAAAAAAACTGAATGAGGCAATGTTGTAATTCATAAGCAAATCAGTAAATTATTTAAAAAATTAAAGAGACAAAATAGTCCAAATAAAATTAAAGCAACAGTCTCCAGTAAATTTGTTTTTACTTTTTAAGACATCTTGAAATGAATGTTGAGGAAAATTCATATTGCAGCAAAATGAGAACGGGAAAAATAAAGGGTTAACTAAAAAGTCTTGCCCTGATTCTAAATATTCATTACACTCAAACAATTGCAATTATACATATGTTTTTTTAGATATAGGTTGGATCCTAGTAAAGTTCACACTCTTGGTGAGAATTATTTTGGTTGGTGACAATTGCGCTGACGTGGTAAACCTACTTTGATACACTAGATATGGTAAACCTAACTATTTCTGGAATTTTCGTATTTTGCTATTTTGTCGGCGGGCATTTTGAATTTCGTCATTTTAACGTTGGGACCGGGCTGGAAGTAAGGCTTCGTGTGAAAGAGTATACCTTAGAATTTTTTACTTTGTTGAATGTGAAAGGTAAGAAAGAAATAACTGAATGGTGTATGAAGGAAGGATTGATTGCTTCAAATTCTGAATCTCCTAAATGTAATAAGCGAATGGGATTATACGAACGAAAGAGTGTTGTT